CAAATAAAGCCCAAAGTCAGCAGAAGGAGAAAGAGAATAAAAATCAGAGCAGAAATAAATGCTATTGAAACAAAAAAGGCAGTAGAAAGGATCAGTGAAACACAGCTGGTTCTTTGAAAGGGTAAATAAAATTGACAAACCCCTAGCCAGAGAAGAAAAAAAGAGAGAAAGCTCAGATAAACAAAATCAGAAATGAAAGAGGAGAAATAACAGATACCACAGAAATACAACAGATTATGAGAGAATACTACAAAAAACTATATCCCAACAAAATGGATAATCTAGAGGAAATGGATAAATTCTTAGACTCTTACAACCTCCCAAAGCTGAATCAAGAAGAAATAGATAATCTGAATAGACCAGTCACAAGGAAAGAGATTGAAACAGTAATCAAAAGCATCCCAAAGAATAAAAGCCCAGGACCAGATGGCTTCCCTGGGGAAATCTACCAAACTTTCAGAGAGGACTTAATACCTATCCTTCTCAAGCTATTCCAAAAAATTACGGAAGCTGAAACACTTCCTAACACATTTACGAGGCCAACATCACTCTGATACCAAATCCTGACAAGGACAGCACAAAAAAGGAAAACTACAGGCCAAGATTGCTGATGAACGTAGATGCAAAAATTCTAAACAAAATAATGGCAACCCAAATACAGCAATACATCAAAAAGATCATACATCATGATCAAGTGGGATTTATACTAGGGACACAGGAATGGTTCAACATCTGCAAGTCAATCAACATGATATACCACATCAACAAACTGAGGAATAAAAACCATGATCATCTCAATAGATGCAGAGAAAGCATTTGACAAGATCCAACAGCCATTTATGATTAAAAAAACTTGTAACAAAATGGGGATAGAAGGAAATTACCTCAACATAATAGAGGCCATGTATGACAGACCCACAGCAAACATCATACTCAATGGAGAAAAACTGAACACCATCCCCCTGAGGACAGGAACCAGACAAGGATGCCCACTATCACCACTCTTATTCAACGTAGTACTGGAGGTTTTGGCCAGAGCAATTAGGCAAGAGAAAGGAATAAAAGGAATGCACATAGGGAGTGAAGAAGTGAAACTCTCGCTGTTTGTGGATGACATGATCTTATATATAGAATACCCTAAAGAATCCCTTGGGAAACTATTAGAAATAATTAACAACTATGGTAAAGTTGCGGGGTGCAAAATCAACTTACCAAGATCAGTTGCATTTCTATACTCTAATAACAAACTTACGGAAAGAGAACTCAGGAGCACAATTCCATTTACAGTTGCAACTAGAACAATAAAATACCTAGGAAGAAATTTAACTAATGAGGTGAAGAACTTAAACAATGAAAACTATAAGACGTTACTGAAAGAAATAGGTAATGATATAAAGAGATGGAAAGAGATTCCATGCACATGGATTGGAAGAATAAACGTGGTTAAAATGTCCATACTACCAAAAGCAATCTACAGATTCAATGCAATCCCAGTCAGAATCCCAGTGACATTCTTCATGGAAATAGAACAAAGAACCATTGTCTCATGCCATACACAAAAATAAACTCAAAATGGATCAAAGGCTTGAAGATAAGTCCTGAAACCATAAAACTCCTGGAAGATAATATAGGTAGTACACTCTTTGACATAGAACTTAAAAGGATCTTTTCAAATACGATGTCTTCTGAGACAAGGGAAACAAAAGAAAAAATAAACAAGTCGGACCTCATCAGACTAAAGAGCTTCTGTAAGGCAAAAGAAACTAGAATCAAAACAAGGAGACAACCCCCCAATTGGGAGAAAATATTTGCAAATCATATATCTGACAAGGGGTTAATCTCCATAATATATAAGGAACTCAACTAAACAATAAAAAAACAAATAACCTGATGAAAAAACGGGCAGAGGATACAAACAGACATTATTCCAAAGAAGATATACAGATGGCCAATAAACACATAAAAAGGTGTTCACCATCACTAATCATCATGGAAATGCAAATTAAAACTACACTAAGATGTCACCTTACACCTGTTAAGATGGCTATAATCACTAAGACGAAAAATAACAAATGTTCGAGAGGTGCTGGAGGAAAGGGAACCCTTATACACTGCTGGTGGGAATGCAAACTGGTGCAGCCACTATGGAAAACAGTATGGAGATTCCTCAGAAAACTAAAAATAATACTACCATACAACCCAGCTATGGCACTACTGGGCCTCTACCCAAACAACTTGAAATCAACAATCCAAAGTAACATATGCACCCCTGTGTTCATTGCAGCACTATTCACAATAGCCAAGACATGGAAGCAATCTAAATGCCCATCGACTGATGATAGGATAAAGAAAATGTGGTGTATATATATATACAATGGAATACTACTCAGCCATAAAAAAGGATAAAATCATCCCATTTGCAACAACATGGATGGATCTGGAGGAAATTATGCTAAGCAAAATAAGTCAGACTGAGAAAGAGAAACACCAGATGATTTCACTCATATGTGGAATATGAACAAGCACATGGACAAAACAGTTCAGTGGTTACCATGGGAAGGGTGCTGGGGGTGTTAATTGAACACAAATCAATTAAATAGAAAATGGACAAACAATAGAAAAAAATCAAAGAAAGCAAAAGCTGGTTCTTTAAAAGATAAATAAAATTGATAAACCTCTAGTGAGACTAATCAAGAAAGAAAGAGAGAAGGCACAATTACTGATATCAAGAATGAGAGAGGTGAAAAGATAATATGAGTAACTTTATACTAATAAATCAACAACTTTAGATGAAATGGAAAAATTCTTTGGAAGACACAAATTACCAAAGCTGACTCAAGAAGAAATGGAAAATCTGAGTGGCTGTACATCAATTAGAGAAATTAATTGATTTCCTGTGAGGAAACTCCAGGCCTAGATAGCTTCACTAGTGAAGTCTGTCATATTTAAGGAAAAAATAATACCAATTCTACACAAAAATATATATATATTTTTTTAAAGATTTTATTTTTTCCTTTTTCTCCCCAAAGCCCCCCCGGTACATAGTTGTGTATTCTTTGTTGTTCTTCGTTGTGGGTTCTTCTAGTTGTGGCATGTGGGACGCTGCCTCAGCGTGGTCTGATGAGCAGTGCCATGTCCGCGCCCAGGATTCGAACTAACGAAACACTGGGCCGCCTGCAGCGGAGCGCGCGAGCTTAACCACTCGGCCACGGGGCCAGCCCCTACACAAAAATATTTTTAAAAATAGAGGAAAAGGGAGTACATAACAGTTTTTATGAGACTGCCTTAACTCTGATGATAAAACCAGAAAAAGACATAGCAATAAAGAACACTACCGACCAATGTCCTCATAAGCAGAGAAGCAAAAATACTTAAAATATTGGTAAATAGAAACCAGCAATGTATAAAAAGACTAATGATGATCAAATAGTGTTTATCCAAGGCATGCAAGGCTGGTTTAACATTAAAAAAATCAATGTAATTCACCATAATAGTTGATTGTAAGGAAAACCGTAATGTCATCTTGAAAGACGTAGAAAAAGCATTTGACAAAGTTCAGTATCCATTCCCAATAAAACTCTCAGCAAACTAGAAATAGAAGGGATTCTTCATCCTGATAATAAGGACATCGAGAAAAATTCTACAGCTAGCATCGTACTGAAAGTAGTACTGCCAAAAGCCAAAATTAAAATCCCTGATTCTGATCAGACCTCCTCTGGAGAAAGTGTAGAAGGCAGAGGAGCGTGTTAGAAGATTCCATGGGCATGAAGTTAGCAAAATCCAGATAGTAGGAAGCTCTATGGAATAAGTGTTCCAGCTTCTTCAGTAAATACACTTCAAGGAAAATAAAGGACTGACAGCTAGAGGCAAAAACCTATATATTAAGAGACTTGAGATGCATTGGCCAGCTCCAACATGTGGCCCTTGTTTGGATCTTCATTCAGACAAATTAAATGCAGAAAAAAGAAAAACAGAACAAACAAGAAAAACCTCAACAGCATTTGACATCTGTGAGACAATTTGAAATCCAAACACTGATTGGATATTTGATATTGAGAAATGATTGTTAATATTTTAAAGTATATTAGTGAAATTGTCATTATGTTAAAAGGGCTCATTTATTATGCCTATATTGAATTTTTATAAATGAAATATTCAAAATCTGAGATTCACTTCAAAATTATACTGTGTTACAGAGGAGTCAGTGGAATGTAGATGAGACAGGATTGGTGATGAGTTGATAATTGATGAAGCTGGATAATGGATGCATAGGTTCATTATTTTATTCTCTCTGCCTTTGTATACATTTTTAAATTTCCGTAATGAAAAGTTAAGAAAAATTATCATAGTTATCAGTTATTGACCACTTATATATTTTGGGAGGTTTATAAATATTAATATATTTAAGCCTTGCAGAAACAGTACATGGTTTTCAAAGATGGGAAACTGAATGTTGCAAGTTTGAAACTTGTTTAAGGTCATACCCGCTAAGTGACAGAGCCAACATTTGCAGCCCAGATCTGTCAATCAGACAGTAGGTCTTCTTTCTATTTTGCTGGGCTATGCTGACTTTCATATACTATACTGGTTTGTCTTCCTGTTTTTCTCTTGAGTTTTATGCTGATATTTATTTCAGAGAACTTGGGGGTGCCATTTTCAGTCAGCCCTATTGTTTGCCAGAAGCATGACTACCTGTCATCCAACGATGGGCAGGTTGCAACAGTTTTCCTTCAGATTTAGAAGTTGGCATGTTCCTCCCTTTTCCATGTTCTGAAAAATCAAAAGACCATCTGTAAGCAGAAAATTACTTTTTGCACTTTGTCTTCTCTGCCACTGTCACTGACAGATGGCACTTGATTGACGTTTTCCCCACTTACTTATGGGATGATGGCATGAAACCATGTTAACCTTAAATGTTGTCTCTATAATTGACATTCTTTAAAACTTAGTGAGACTTCTAATGCATGTAATTCTTACCTGTTTTGTTTATTTTTTTATAGGCTTTGGTTGGAGAGAAGGCTTGTTATCAATCCATCAGTAGCTATGGTGGTCAGATCTTTTATTTGGGGACAAAAGTAAGCTCTTCCACTCTGTGACTTGTGTTTATTTGTGTCAGGATAGTTGGGGCTGAAGGAGGTTGCTGGTAAAAAGAGCAGTGCATTACAAAGTGGATATTGATCAGCGGTAATCTAAAACTTTTAGGGGTTAGATAGTGGTGATTTTAAGCTGACTTATTTTCTCCATTTTTAGAAATATTTTTACTTTCACTTAGCTTCTAATAGAATGCTTATTTTCTAAATTCAGGGATATACTTTCATAATCTTCGCATTTATGTTTTCATGACCAGGAAGATACCTTCTCATGTATGTTTGTCATGTCATTAAGATGTCCTTTAGCTTAGATCTGCTTAGGATATATTAAAATACATTGAGGTATTTGACTTAGAATAGAATCACTGGAATAGGAACTTTTTGTATATCAGTTTGTTCCTGTGCTTTTATTTTTTAACTTAACATGGAGAAATATTTATTCATTATTAAAATTCAAAATATTAGCAAGTCAGTATGGGAAGATTGGGGGTTCCTTATCCATGGGATTAACTCCTTTTTGGACCGTAGGCTTATTGACCTTTAAATATTTGATTTACTCATTAATGTGGGCCCTTGAAGACCCTTTAGTAAATGCTTCTAACTGTGGTATGAAATGCTTTTACTTAAAGAAATGTGAAATGAGATGTGGAACTGGGGCAAATGTGTCTCCCGAACAAGTCCATTGAAGAAGAGCATTTTAATTTTCTTCTCTTTGATTTCTAGTCTGTTTACGTGATGATGCTGAGGAGCTGGAGAGAGGTAAGTTCAAAGTAATTTTATGTATTAGAGCTGTTGAATTGGTGCCATCTTAACATTTCTGTTTTGACTTTGCAGAAAAAGATTATTTGGATTTGGGCTTTTTAGTTTCAGCAGTGTGCATCAAAACCCTTGTAACTACTGGGTACTTGATTTGGTAAAACTGTATAAATTAGGAGTAGGTTTAGCTATACATATCAGAAAATTCAAAATAACAGTGGCTTAAACAGGATTTTTCTCTCATGTAAAGGCAATCTGGAGGTAGGCAGTCCATGATTAGTATGGCAGCCCTATGGTCTTTAGTATAATATCCTGTTCCACCATCCTTGTGTGTGGCTTCTAGTCTCAAGGTCATTTTATGTTCCAGTATGGAACTCCAGCTGTTAAGTCTACATTCCAGGAAGGAGGGAAGAGAAGAGAACGGCTGGTCCTTGCCTTTTAAAGTGACATCTCAGAAATACCAAGCAACATTTCTGCTTACTTATCATTGGCCAGAATTTAGTCACATGGCCCCAAGTCGCTATAAGAGAGTCTTAGAAATATCCTTTAGCTTGTATATTACTGTCTCAAATAAACTTGGGACTTGTTACTAAGGAGGAAGGAGTGAAAAGATGTTGTGTTAAACAACTAGCTGTTTCTGTGATCAGTGACATTCTAGCTGTTTCTTCTTTTCATATTTAGGCTTGTGGCTGCCTATATTAGCCTATACAATCACTGTACTATCCAGTGCTTTAAGAAATTATTTTTCTTGGAAATAACATAGTCACATGGTTTTGGAATAATTTTAGATACTAAGCAACAACTTCTAGAAATATATTAGGTAAAATAGGAATTCTGACTGGCAAGTTGGTCACATAAAGGGGTCTGGTTTCTCCCGTTTATTCATTTTAGAGAGTGGATCATCTGCTGAAACAAGATTGTCTTACGGAAGCCTTGGCTCTTGCATGGTCTTTCCATGAAGGAAAAGCAAAAGCAGTAGTGGGTGAGTTAAAAGATTACTGGTGTAGTAGACATTGTTTTTCTGGACTAGAGGGAATGAATAATACTAATCACTCACATGACACTTCTGGCTTAGTGTTCAAGTATTTTATAAATAAGATGTTGTCAAAGCTTACAGACTTCCAATGAAAAAGGTTAATGACAAATACAGGATATAGAATTTTAAGTGTCACTCTTTTGATTCTTTTTTTTTTTTTTTTCCATAAGGAAAATTTGCTGTTAGAGCAAAAGGGAAGTACATGCTATCTGGTCTGATACATGTGAGGTGTTCCTGTTATGGCGTATTAGCCAACATTTTGATACCTAAGGATTGTTGAAATTCTATCTATTGGTAGCACAGGTTGTGAATAGAAGACCAGAATAGTTTCACTCTTGAAGATGTGGACTAACTTTGTTTTTTGCTGGGTTGTGCTTCTCTACAGGATTATCAGGGGATGCCAGTAAGCGAAAGGCTGTTGTGGCAGATCGGGTGAGTATTTTAATAAGGTTTTTACTAGGGTATAGTACAGATGTGCTTTTGGTATTTGCTAATATCTGTGGGCATGATTAGGTAAATGGCTACAGTCAAGGAGATGGTGTGTAAGAAAAAAACGAGTCGGGTTATCATTTCCTGGTGTCATCTTGAAAACTTTTTAAATTCTTTCTTATCGCCTTTTCTTTTTTTTCCCTTGCTTACTCTCCTATGAAGATGACAAAGTAGTAAAATAGTTCAAAGACAGCAGAAAGTCAAAGGAAGAAAACCCAGGGATCTGGGTTATTTCTGAACATAATTATAGCCCATAGAAAGTTAACGTTTGTTAGTTTTTATAAACTGATAGTAATTATGAGAAGTATTATAAGAGCAAGTGTTTGTATTGCCTGAGATAGCAGGGTTAATATTTTAATATTGTTGTTATTAGCTTAATATAGTTAACGCTAATATTTACTATTAGATTTGTTTTCCTAGACTTGGTTGAATTCGTTTACTATAGTCATTCCTCCCCTTTTTATTGTGTAAATGCATTGGTAAAAATTATTCCAAATTAGTGTAAACATTTAGAAAACATAAGTAGAAATTGGTTACTCCTTAGACTTATGAATGCTGCTTGTCTCAGTATCTGCTCTAAAAAGAATTAGCTATCTGTGTTCTTTAGGGAAAGACCTACAGCAGAGGATTACTCAAGAGCTGAACTTCAAAATTTTTCATTTCCTGAGCAGTATAGATAGTAATGAGGTCTAGAACCTGGAGATAATTTTTAGGAAAGATTAGCAAATTAGTGGTAGCTCTGAGGCTGAAAGAAGTTAGGCTGGGGTTAAAAATATTGGGAAATAAAGCCACTAACATTTTGTATTATATTTTTAATGTAATAACAAAGCCTGGCTCTCTATTCTTCAGGAGGGCCATATATATTAGGTAGTGAAAAACTTTAGAAATACATCTTAATTTCTTTGCAAGACTCTTTTCCTTACAGATGGTGGAAATCCTGTTCCATTATGCAGATCGAGCTCTGAAAAAGTGCCCAGATCAGGGAAAAATCCAGGTGATGGAGCAGCATTTTCAGGTACACCTTTGCATGTGTTTCTAATAGACATTGCTGTGCATAGGTCTAATACTACTCTTTTATATTACTTGAGAATGGGACTTTCATGTTTGGGTTAAACATTTTTTAGTATTCAAAGCTTTGTTTCAGGGCTTGTGGAGCATTCTAAATGATGAAATTTTCAAGTAACCAGTCACATGGGAACAGATGAGTAAATTATTGTGGAGCGTTAGTGCTTAGCTACTTAGTGTTGTGTGGCAGGAAAGGATATATGTAAGTGGGTACAGAGCTGTGAATTGTCACCTCACAGTGGCTGACACCGGCTGATGACCGACGTTTATGGTAACTAGGCTAGTCGGAGAAGAGGTCTACTATCGAAGTGTCAGTTGAGTTCTAGGAGTACCTGTGACTCAGGAATGGATCCATTACAAAAAAAGCATGATCTCTAAAATATGCTAATGAAAAACCTTGAGTTTCTCTTGGAACTCAGTGAAAATGGAAGTCAAGGAGCAATTTAAAGACTTGTATAGTGTTTATTATGCAAGTTACACTGTTTGCAGTGATCTCCAGTTATATTTGTTACAAATCTCTTTCTCCTTCCCCATTCCTAGAGCTCCCTCCCCTCCCCCTGCCTCCTCTTTTAACAAATCTTTGAGGATCTAACACAGGGGTCAGCAAACGTTTTCTAAGCAGGGCCAGATGGGAAAATTTAGGCTTTGCGGGGCACGTATGATCTCTGTCACATATTCTTCTTTTTTTTTTTTTTTTGTTGTTTGTTTTTTAAACAACTCTTAGAAAGTGTAAAAACCGTTTTAGCTGTGAGCCATTCAGAAAAAGGCTGTGGGCAGGATTTGGCCCATGGGCCAAAGTATGCAGTCTCTGGTCTAATATGTACTAGGCACTGGGCAATAATGAGTGAAATATACATGGTCCTTGCTATCTTTAAGTTTGCAGTGGAGTCAAAGTAACTTTTCTTGTGTACATTAGTGGAAATATTTAGAAGAGATCTAGGGGTTTTGAAGTTCTAAAGAGCAGGCCCAGCTCAGATCCTTGCATCTGTCCCTTTGATGCTCATAACTTTGGAAGATAGGGATAGATACAGCAATTAACATTTGGAGGACATCAAACATTTGGAGAGTATTAACATTTGGAGGATTTGGTTTCCTGAACTGTACTCTTTAGTGCCACAATAGTGGGCTTCTGGTGGATTAACTTTTATTACTGTTTGGCTGGAGGCTCATTAATTTATCAATAAAGAAGAGAACTAAGCCCAGATAAATCATAAAAATAGATAACTTGGGAGGAAAACATATGGCAGAAAGAAAGCTTTTGGGAACAAAACTGTGTGGGAACAATACCTTCTATATAAATAATTTTTTTTTTAAAGATTTTATTTTTCCTTTTTCTCCCCAAAGCCTCCCGGTACATAGTTGTATATTTTTAATTGTGGGTCCTTCTAGTTGTGGCATGTGGGATGCTGCCTCAGCGTGGCTTGATGAGCGGTGCCATGTCTGCGCCCAGGGTTCAAACCAGCGAAACCCTGGGCTGCCAGAGCAGAGTGTGTGAACTCAACCACTTGGCCACGGGTCTGGCCCCATAAATAATTTTTATACCAATGTTGTATATATAGAAAAGAAAACTTAGGGGCCAGCCCGGTGGCATGGTGGTTAAGTGCGCACATTCCGCTTTGGCAGCCTGGGGTTCACCAGTTTGGATCCTGGGTGCAGACGTGGCACCACTTGGCAAGCCATGCTGTGGTAGGCATCCCACATATAAAGTAGAGGAAGATGGGCACGGATGTCAGCTCAGGGCCAGTCTTCCTCAGCAAAAAGAGGAGGATTGGCAGCAGATGTTAACTCAGGGCCAATCTTCCTCAAAAAAAAAAAAAAAAAAAAAGAAAGAAAAAGAAAAGAAAACTTAATATTTTAACAAGAGAATATCTATTACCAAGAAGTGGTAGGGAGGTATTCATGAAAGAACTCTCTCCATTGGAAGGTATACTCTGTTGAAAATAAACATCTAGTAGGGAACTAGGAGGGGCTGATGTGGGGGGGCGATGTGTAACATAGAAACCACCATGTGGGGAAGAACATGGTAAAGAGTTATAAAAGAAGAAAGGGAGAAAAGTGATGTTCTGTTGGAGAAATAAGAAAGAATCTCAGCGTGACAGGGGCTATGGATGATGGTTTCTAGTGCTGATTATAAAATTTACAGAGAAACAAACTGTAGTCATGTGTTCTTAACCATCTAGATCTTTGTTGGAAGTTTCATTCTGCTAAAAGAGTATCTGATAAAATTTTTTATTTATTAAGATTTTAGTCTCATAAAAGGTAAAGGATAACAGTGGTGGCGACCACTATTTGGGATTTGTTTTTTACTAATGATCAGGGATAGACTCTTCAGAGAAAAATTATCACTTTGCTTTAACAATTGTAATAATGATGAAGAATACACTCAGCATAAATCCTGTATTTTAGAAATCAAATATTTCAGAAAAAGGGGCCAGCCCCATGGCCGAGTGGTTAAAGTTCCATGCACTCCACTTTGACGGCCCAGATTCACGGGTTTGGATCCCAGGCGTGGACTTACTCCATTTGTCAGCCATGCTGTGGATGCATCCCACATACAAAATAGAGGACGACTGGCACAGATGTTAGCTCAAGACTAATCTTCCTCAAGCAAAAAAAGAGAAGGATTGGCAATGGATGTTAGCTCAGGGCAAATCTTCCTCACCAAAACCAAAACAAACAAACAAACAAAAATACTTCAGAAAAGAAAATATGGGTACAATCTCATGGTTATAGGCTCCAAAAAATGAATAGGTTACAAAGAACAGGAAATTCTTAAATTTTGACGTAATAACCACAAACAATTCAAAGAGAAAGGAAATGGAGGCATGTTGAGAGAAGTGTCTGTCTACAAAGCACAGAACAGCTACAAAAAATGGAGAGAGGCAGAAAACCAAAGATAGATGCCAAAAGCATCTTGACTGCCAGAAAGGAGAATACTCCAGTACCTACTAAGATGCTGAGGGGTACACGAAAGAGATTTTGACAAAGATTCACTGAGTATATACTACATGCCAAGTACCAAGTAAAGGGTGTAATATTCCTTTTTATTTAATTCTCCCAGCAACCCCATGAAGTAGATAGTGTTTTAATCCCCATTTTACAGATGAAGAAATTTAGGCTGAGGGAGGTTAAGTGACTCCCCAAGGTAATATTGCTAGTAAGTGGTGGGGCCAGAACTCATATCCAGGTCCTTCTGACTTCAGAGCCCAGCTGTTAACTAACCATTGTACTGTACTGTTATTTTCAGAGCAAAAAGTGTAAGGATAGGTGAGAAGGGGTGATGTTAATAGGTGTCTAGAATGATAATTATAGCAGAATCTGAATTGTTTAATGCTTACTAGGTGGGAGGCACTGTTAAAAACCCTTTGCATATATTAACTCATTTAATTCTTATTGTAACTTTATATGTAGATGCGGGTATTCACATTTATAAATGAGACTGAGGCACAGAGACATTAAATAACCTGTTCCAGGTTACATAGCTAGTAAATGATAGACCTGGGATTAGAACCCAGGCGGTGGGCCTTCAGGTCCACATCTGGACTGCTACACTCTACTATAGAATAATGCTTCTTATTTTACTCCATTTTCATGAGCACAGAGAAATGTTCTTTAAAGTGGAAAAGTCTAGATAAATATATTTAATAAAAAAGCTGAACCCCAGCATATGTGACATATAGTTACATTATGATTGTTCAAATCTCAAGACCCAGTGGAATCATAATCCAGGATACTGTTTGAACAGTTGGAGCCATTGTTAATGATTTGTGAGTAACTTTGGATCAACTTTTGAATGAGGTGCCCTCGCTTAAGCCTGGAGGCCTCAGCACAGGAGACACAATTTATTTCACTCAAGAGGGCTGTTTTCTTCTGGAAAAGGTAATCCTCAGCCCATCAGGATGAGTGGAAGTCATGCAGAGTTGGCCACAAGTCTGCCATTTTAAGCGTTTAATCTTAAATATTTAATCACAAAATTATTAAATAGGTTAACTCTTAAAGTGTATTTTTTTTAAAAAGAAGCGTGGACTTAGGAAGCTATCCACTGATAACCCCAATGTGGTTTGTGAACATTTTCCATGAGTTCACCTAAAAATGGTCATGTTCAATGATCATGTTAAACTCATAAATTGCCTTATTAAAAGGAATCTGAGGATGGCATTTTCATGGAATGCCTGTTGCATAATGCCTTAATTTCATTAAGGAATTTGTCTAAATTTTCCATTCTCCTCATGGCTGAAATAGATTAGTAAATAGTAAATAGATTAGTAAATCGATTTTCAGCTAGATAAACATCGCTACCCAAAAAGCATTCTTTGGGGCTTAGTATTAATTACATCTTGGGGCTCTTTGTTATCCAAGTTTTTGTAATTGATTTGGATGAAGATTTATTGAGTGGCTTGTCAAATTTAGATGACACCAAGAATCAGGGTCCAAAATGATCCTGACAGAGTGCAATCAAAAGCATTATGATATGAAATTTAACCAGGATAAACATCAAGACTTCATTAGATTCAGCTGATTACATTGCATGAGTATTGAGTTGGGAAAATCTAGCCAAACAGAATTTTAGTTGACTACAAATTTAGTATGAGCATTAGTACGTTAAGGTCCAGATAAAGGAAAGTTATAGTACCACTGGGCTACCTGTTGGAGATAAAACCTCTGAGATAGGTTATGGACTATTGACAGACTAAGCTATATCCCACAGCTGGGATGGTGGGAGGTTTTAAAACAATAGTTGAAAAAAAAATACTGGCGTTGTTTAATCTGAGGAGAAAGTGGAGACATGCCTGCCTTCAGATGATGAGGGGCTGTCGTATGAGGATTTACTGTACTGCTGCAAAGGGAAGGCTGGTATAAGTGGGTGGACATTAGGAGCTGTATTCCTGTTTAAAATGACCTAGTGATGATGTAATGGCTTTTGGACTTATGCACCTCCTACTGTTGAAT